TATATATACATTATATATATATATATATATATATATATATATATATATATGATACATATAAATATATATATATATGCTATATATAAATTAATATTTTACATTATCAATATTTGAATGAATGATCAAATTAATGAATGCATGAATGAATAAATGGATGGATGAATGAACGAATAAAAAATGAATGAATTAATGAATGAATAAATGAGTGAGTAAGTGAATGAAGAATGAATAATTGATTGATTGATTGATTGAATGAATGAATAAATGACTATATGAATGAATGAATTAATTATTGAATGAATGAATGAGTGAATGAATGAACGAACGAACGAATGCACAGACGGACGGATAGAAGGATGAATGGATGGATGAATGTAAGAATGAATGAATGAATGAATGAATGAATGAATGAATGAAAGTGAACAAATGCATGAATGAATGCTGGTTTCTATGTATATACGCTAATGATACCACCGTATGGTGTTTTTTTCCTCTATATTAATATGTACCTTACAGTAGTAGGTCGCTTGACCCCCTTCATCGAAAGGTTCTCGTACCCTTAAATACAATCTGAAAACCATATTCAATTAAAACTTGGAATTTATATATTGGATTTTATTGTTAATGTTTATCAGATCAAAACAGATAGTATCTCATTCATGATATTATCTCCAAAATTGGAAAAGTTGAAGTTCAATCAATAATAATAGTTTGAAAGATATAATCATGCCTGTGGCTTTAAATTAAAAACATCTTATGGAAACTCAATGGACTGACATCAAGACTGTAAGTTGTTCTTGGTATCAGAGCACATAATATGCCTCAGTTATATTGTCTAATCTCTGATTAGAATGTACAATTGTTTCATCGATAACAAACTAAGCACAAATTGATGTAAACTTACTGTGAGTGAAGATCAGAAATCAAGAACCAATTATACTGATAAATATATTTAATAGTTTATAATCAGTTGTTAATCTACAAACTGACATCAAGACTCTAGTATCAGAGCAGATATTATATTAAGATCAGGCCTTTGCTATTTGTATAATTTCTGATAATAATATAATACAGTAGTAATAAGATAAACAGTAGAAGTTCAGAAACCAAGAACCAATTATCCTGATAAATATAATTAATATTTCATCATCAGTTGTTTCTATATTTGTCTGTATCTTTGCTAGGTATTGTAAATTAATAGCAAATAGCTGATCAAGTGCATTTGTGTTTTGTTTGGTATCAGTTAGCACATTATCTCATTACCTCATTATCTTTTAAAACCAGGCTAAAGACCTTTATTTTCCATCAAGTTTTTCATTAATTTAACATCACATCCTTATTCTGTTTTTTATGTACAGTGCACCGAGAGCTTGCTTACTATATAAGAATGAACTTATTATTATTATTATTATTTATCTCATTAACCATTCTGAGTTTCCATTACTTTTGACTTAGAAAATCAGTTGTACAATATATTAAACCATGTTTTTAATCCAGAGCCTGCCTTTAAGGATGGTGTAAGTGATAATCATGCTGCAGATGCATACTAGTCTTTTAACCCCATGTGTTTGCAATAATATTGCGATTTTCAACACTGTGTTCTACAATAGTGTTTTATATTGAGCAAAGTGTTCATACACTGGATGGAGGCCAATATGAGCAGTTATTACAGCGTGTTCTCCACAGTTTGGTAGGATGGATTCCATCACATGATCTACTGAGTAGCTGATTTGATTGGCCGTCATGATTTAGTATTCAGTAAAGTTTCCAACATTCGTTTGATATTTTCCAACTCCAGTACAAGCTTCTGAACCTGTAAATACAAACAAGTAAACACCTTTAACATTTAATTGATATCAAGTATTACAGCACTGACAAATCCTCGAAGAATAATATACTTCCACATCAAAATTCAAACACGAGTGCCAAATATAATAAGTTAAAAAGATCTACTGATATTAACCTATACGGAAACAGACATAGGCCTATCTAGTATTTTTTCACCACACACTAGACTAGTAAATACATATTATCAAAACAGGTGTTTACCGAATGGACTGGTCAACAGCTGTTTTTGTAACACTCATTGCCAATTATTGCATATTGTAAGTTGGTCTTACCATGGACCTATTAATCCATGGTCCATGGTCTTACCTTCTCACTATTTTGCTGTCTTATTTCATCAGGCACCTTCTCATTGTAATGCTTTATTTCTGTTGCTTTTATCAGTTTGTCAAGTTGTGAGTTTAGCTTTATCTCTTTCATTTGGAGTTTCTTTGTTATATTTGTTATATCTACCACTCCCTGCAAAAACACAAATTGAAAACATCAAGACAGTGTCCAGACACTAACATTAAGCTAAAAGACTTTATCAGATATTTAATATTATTTAAATAAAACCAGTGAAAGAGTCATCATAGTATAATTACCATGTGACATGTAGTAAACAATGAGATGTAAATGCTTCAATATATTGACCAATCAACAATCATTTTATTTTGTAACACAAACCTTTAACTGCACAGCCACATCACAAGATGGTGATACAGTAGACACAGCACAACCAGAGGGAGTAGCAACATCAAATAGAACATCTAGTGAGGCTGCTTTAGTTAAAGTCTGTAAATCCTCTTGATAATTCCTGAGCATAGAGTGGGTATCATCAGTACGGCAGACAACAAAAGCTATGAAAAAAATAAATGAAATGTTAGCGACCATAGAATATTATCTCTACTTAACACCAACATTAATGAAAATTCTGCTAAAAGAAATCAGAAAAAAAATCTCAAAATTTCAATTAAGAGTTTGAACAGTTTAAAAGGATAACAATAAGTTATGAACTTCCAACCAGAAACAAATAAAAAACAGACTGAATGTATATTATAGGAATCAGAAGGCAGGCACCCACTATCATCATTTGGTTTAGTTTTTTGCAAATTGTGACAGAAAATTAATTCTTAGATATTCCTGCAGCACATAACACCAAAAACATATACCCCACTCTTAAAGCTTCATCCTAAAGCACACAGTAATAAGTGGAGAAAAATTTTACCATTTACTTGTTTCACTTCATATTGCACTTTGAGTGATCGTATACTCCTCGCAACTCCCAACATTAAATCTGTATCCTCCTCAAGTGGTACATCCTTATAAGGAAGCTATAAACATATTTGAAAAGTTTTAATTATTAAATACAAGAAATTATTAGTTGCATTTTTCTGAATTTTTTTTCTTCTGCCTATGCTATAATTGTTGTTTACTCAATATCTACTATTGCCATATTTTTCTATTTGAATTTTAGTGTTTATTTCAATTGAACTGATCATAACTTACTTCAGTAATAGTTGGATACCGGGAAACACAAATACTAGAAACGTCAGTTAGGCCTGGCAACCTTTGGTAAAGCTCTTCTGTGAGGTACGGCATGAAGGGGCTTAGAAGCCTCAGACCAGCATCAATACAAGTGAAAAGGACAGAGCGAGACACCTTAGCTGCTGTTGATTTATCATCATTTATAAATGGTTTAATAGTTTCCTTCAGAAATAAAAAAAGATAATATGTTAATAATTACAACACCAATGCTATTCAGAATATATAGTGTAGAAACTGCTAAAGAGAAGAACAGACTACAAACACTTAAAGTGATGAGTCTATAGACCACAGTACCAAGGCTTTAGGCCCATCATACTATCAATTATGCAAAACATATAAAACATGCATGATATTACTTTTTAATTTTTTAGTTTATTTCATCATAATAAATTTAAATGAGCAATTAATTTTTTAATGAATTTTTGTGGTCATGTCAAATTCCACCATAGAAGATTTCAGATTTGATTTATTTTGTCATCTCATACACTATCGATCCTGAAGGAAAGTTTTGGAATTAATTAAACATACCAAGTACACGTCACAAAGACACTGCAACCAGAAGTGATGTAATGCTGTTGTCACCACCGTCAAATTGTAGCCATGGAAACCAGAATTACAAATTTCTGCAGTATGGCTGAGCTTAGAAAGGATCCAGCGATCAATTGCTCTGCCATTCTGCATTATCTGCAATTAAAATGGTCACATAATAAATTTTTAATCCTTTTCTCTTGAAATATAATTCTTCTATGTGATAAATAAGGAGCAGTTTTATGAAATTCATTATTTATCAAGTAATATTTTGCGTCATTTACTATAATCTTAAGGTCAGCTACAATTCATCACTACATTTTCTAGAGACATACCTTTTGAAAAGAAATTTATAAATACTTCACAGGAGATCATAAACTGCATATTCTATATTATATGAATTATTGATTTACTATTCTAATTATATATTTTCCAACTGCCACATAAAACCCAAGGTTTGAAAGAACCACTAAAACTTGGCTTTCTATGAAATATTTATACACATGTTCAACAATCACTGTTGTGAAATTACATAATTTAAAAATTGTATGACTATCTTAAGCTTTTATTTTTCCAGCTACAGGTACTATTAAAAATTTGGTATACCTTATCACTTACATCTTCCATTTTCATATGTTTGAAGTCATCTCCAAAAACCATAAAGCTAAATTTGACAGCATTCCAAATTTTGTTGCAAAAATGTCTGTATTCTAGAACTTGTTGAACATTCAAGTTAATATCATCTCCTATAAAAAAAGACAAAACAATGGGTTAAGGGTATGTGACAATAATATAATTGTAAACATTACGTAAGTTGCAAACAAAACAAGCATACCTTGTGCCTTGTAAGTACAAAGGGCGAATCTAAGAGCATCGGTCCCACATTCTGGAATCCCGTTTGGAAAGTCTGCCCTCTGACCCTTGAGGGCAACACTTAACTCTGTATCATCATGCTTCAAGTTGCCACTTCTGAGGCGGTCTTGCAAAGCATTAAGGGATATGCCTTCGATGACATCAATTGGATCAATGACATTTCCAAGGGATTTACTCATCTTCCGCCCATGTGCATCACGCACCATTGAGTGAAGGTACACCTGCAAGAGAGGTGGTGTACTGTATGTTGGTACAATATAATACAAGTTTCCCACTAATTAAAGACATTTTCAATTAAAGCCCACCTCCAGTTAAAGATCACTTTTTTGTGGTCTCAAATTAACAGATGCCTTTATTTTTTTTATTATTAATAATAATAATAATTCTGGATTTATATAGCGCCTCACGTTGACACAACCTCGAAGCGCTTGAACATTATTAACCCCGGATCACTGGATCAAGCACATATGGAACACACACTCAAGCCCCATGGGTTGTAGCAGCAAATAAAAATTTAAATTATAAATTATATATGTGGTTAAACAAAAATATTTAACAATTCAGTAATGGTTGCTGCCTGAGAAATGCCCGAAATCATAAACTTTGAAGGCTGATTTCTCAATTATTGTTCTTTAAACAGCTGTTTAAACGCTTGTAACTTCATAAGGAAATGTTGGATTTAAATGATTCTTTTACCATTTTATAGCTCTAATTTTCATCTTTAACCCTGTATAAATAACTAAAAATTTTTGCGATGAATGACTGGTTTGGCTTGTCTCTGGCACATATTATATAAAATTTTTAGTATTATACCTGTTTAAATGGGACTTGCCCTGTTAGTCTCTGGCCAAGCATTACCATTCTTGCAACCCAGAAAAACAGTATATCATAGCCTGTCTCCAGTAGAGTATATGGGTAATAGTGTGACAGGTCAGGAGTCTACATATAAAAAAAGAAAATTAAGGGTAATAGGTAAGTGAGTAGCACATAACATTGATTTGCATTGAAATTGTTAAAATTTAGTGGCAAAACCGGGGAAACGTGCCCCCCCCCCCCTTACTGGATCTGCCCCTAAATTAACCTTACTTTTTCAGGCCATCCATGTACAGCAAATGGGAAGAGGCCTGACGAGAACCAAGTGTCCAATACATCTTCATCTGTAGAGAAAATTAAATACAAAATAAATTTTAATAATTGTTATATTTTCAATGTCATTTTTTTGTAATATATCTTAAGAATTTATGAAAATATAGATATTTACATCCATATTCAAGCAGGATTTAAATTTCATTGATTGGCCTTCAAATATTGATATTGTAAATTCTCTCAACATATACAGTACATATAAAAGATACAAAATACAATATAAAATACATTAAAACAGTAAAACAAACCCAAAAGGAAAAATGGGTCATAAAAACATTACACAATAACAATAGGGAAATATGCATGTACATATTCTAAGGGATAGCAACTAAGAGACTTGGGTTTACAGAGAGTTTCTTTGTTTCTCTCATCTCTTTTCAGTGGTGTGGTACATTTACACTGATTCTATAATCTACCTTGAGTTAATGTGATATTGCTAGCTTGTACATCAAACCTCTTGGCAGCTTTATGTTTTGCCTCTTCTTCTGAGTGGGCACTCACCCAGTATTCGGCATCAGTATTCTATAAAAAGACATAGTTTTTAAAAATTAATATTTTTTTTAACTCGTTAAACCAGACAAAGCTACCATCATCACAGTAGTTTTTATCATGACCACCAATAATCTCCTGGTCATTGTTATTGCTGTCATCAGCATCATTACCATTCTCTTCACCAATCATCATCCATATCATCAAAATTATTTTCAGTATACATCATATTTTCATCATCACAATAATGTCACATATCATATTTACCATTATTATCATCATAAGCATCTACACATTCCAATCCTGTTCAAATCATCTTCATATCATCATCATCATCATCATCATCATCATCATCATCATCATCATAATCAGTCATCAATACAATTGTCATGACACTCTGTAATACATTAGTTTATTCCCATGTCTTCATACGAAAATTTAATAGTCATCATTAGTTCTGTCTTTGTACATGTATAAAACCGTATCCATACCTTTCCTGATGCATCATCATTATCAATCGTCACAAAGTATGCTGGGATACGATGACCCCACCAAAGTTGTCTTGATAAACACCAGTCTCTGAAAACCAACCACACAATAGTATACACAAATATTTACCTTATATTCTGATCAATGTGGCTTGGAAAACATGTGTTCATTGCTTTCAATCTTCTGAATTTACTCTACTTTTTTCTTTTAAAACTCAATTTTGAATACCGTAGCTCTAATCTCAAAGTTTAAATCAAACAAACTAAATAAAGTTTTTGATGAATATTTTAGAGATCCTCACCTGCTGTTTTTCAACCACTGATTCCAGGTTTTTATGTGCATGTCAGGGATTATCTCCAAATCTCCATCCTCAACTGCTTGCACAGCAGCAGCAGCCATCTCAGTGCAGTCCACAAACCACTGAGACTTGAGAAGCGGCTCAACAATGTCTTTAGAACGACTGAAAAATCAAAAGCATAAATAAGTTAAGTGTACATGCTTTAATATATCTCACCACCATTGGAAGTAAAAGCACATGGAAAGATGGGATGTATGGGATTCAATGAACAGTAAGTACTGTGGGCATTCTGAATATTAATGCAATTAAAAAAAATTACACTTTCATTTGCCATGAATTTGCTTTATTGTTGTAATTTTTAGAGTCTTAGTGATGAACAAAATTAAATATGGTATGAACATGTGCAGTATTACTAAGTGAACAACCTTAACCTTTTGAACCCTAAAGGCCGGAAAAACGTCTGTGTGCTTACGCTGCAATAACCCTAAAGGCCGGTATTCTGGCTTTGCGGGTCAGGTGACGTTATTCGGGATAATCACCTGACCAGTATGAGTAATGTGACGTAATTTTGTGACATCATCATTCCCAAGTCGTTCTGACAGCCTCGTACGTGATGATTTTTTAGAAAAAACAAATTTATATTAAATAATTTGACAATAAATGCCAACATGCTTTACGATTGATACTTTATGACTCCCAAGAGTAGATTGATGATGACGATTATCCAGGAAGTGATTTGGAAAGTGACAGTGAGGTAAACAGTGTAGTTTCTAGCCCTTGGCCAGACTGATCACGATAGTGCTAGTGCCAGCAGACAGTGGTAGTGATGATAGTTGTACATCGGGTTGATGGATGGCGGTAGCGGTACAGGGCCTAGGAGGTGGTGGTGATGATTGTAATAAAAAAATAGCATATTTTGTCCAAATAACTCAGGGTGAGTGTGCCGCAATATATAAATAATGCAGGGTTCAAAGGGTTAAGAAAAAAATGTTTTAATTGTACATTTGTTTTTATAAATACTCCCTGGTTAAAAAATAAATTAAAAACAAAAAGCTATTCTGGATTGTATTCCTTTTATTGTGCAAATA